ACATACCTGCTTGTTTAGTTTTTCTTGTCTCCAGATTTGAAGATTTACCTTTTTTGTTTTTTACCATATCTTTCAATCTATAGCCTGTAATGCAATCTGTAATTTTTGGTTAAGCATAAGCCATTTTCTGCAGTTTCTAAAGTCAAAAGGTTGAGTGTTTATTTGTGGGAGAGGTTGTGATGCATGTTCAGAAATGATTCAGGAATATGGGTTCTTTATGGGATGCTGAGGTGCAGGCATTTCATCGTTTCAGACCAGCGTTCATGAAGAGCTATAGGGCTCTACATTTGTAATGGGTGTAAATGAAATAAATACTGCTGTTAAGAAAAGGTCATAAACAAAAGTAAAAGTGTTACATATTTCAGAGAAACACAAGCCTCTGTTCCTCCTGATGATGATGGTACCTTGAATTCCTAATCTCATTCTGATTAAAGGTTCAGTGGAATAGCCCAAACCTGGAGCTCCAGGGCAAATCTCTGATGCTCCCTATTAAAAATGTAACTTGGCCAGGCATGGTGGCTCGCTCCTGCCTCTAATCCCAGCACTTAGGAGGCTGATGGGGAAGGATTGCTTGAGGTCAGGAGTTGGAGACCAGCCTGAGCAACATAGCGAGACCCTGTCTCTACAAAATATTTAAAAATTAGCCAGGTGTGGTGACATGCACCTATGGTCCCAGCTACTCAGGAGGCTGAGGCAGGAGGTTGCTTGAGCCCAGGAATTTGAGTCTGCAGTGAGCTATGATGACACCACTGCACTCTAGTCCAGGCAACAAAGTGAGATCCTGCCTCAAAAAAAAAAAAAAAATGTAACTTGTCTTGGACCAATGTACTCACTTTTCTGTTTTGACTCCAAGTAAGATAATTTAAAGTAGTACAAACCTACTGTGATTTCATATAAATTCCACCAAAGAGTAGGGCTATCTTGCACATAAAAACATGTGTGAGAGCTTTAACTAAGAAATGTATTTTAATCTGTAATCAGTGAACAGAGGGAAATATCTGAGCATTTCCAGTCATCTTAGCGGAAGTCCAAGTCTCCCCAATACAGGAAAGGCAGACCCAGAACTTAGGGCAGGGTCTAAAGGAATGAAACGAGATTGTTTAGTCTATTCCATCTTCTATTGCTATCACCTCACCTATTGTACAAATATATATAACACATATTAAAAATAAAAATAATTCTGTTTAGTTTGTATTCTTCTTTACTATCGTACATATATTTTCCTGATTCCTAAAACATCTTGGTCATATATATAGATATATATATAAAATAACTTCTGTTTTTATTTTTTTGGAAAAGACTGAAATTCAAAGATGCTAAATAACATATTAAGATAAAGAATCATAGATTTTTCAACTCAAGCTGATGCTTTTTTTTTACTCTGCTGCCTTATATCCTGACTTTTCAAGCCTGTCCACAATCCTGCCCACGGTCCTCCCAACTGCTGTCTCTCTCCGTAGCTGGTGAATGTCTTGAGAGCAGAGGCCTGTGCATCCCATTTCTACAGACCTAATGGCCTTCAGGGGAGTTTCTGATACATCAGGTCCATAATCCCTTTTCTGTATCCCTTAAGGCAAAACATTTATACCATATACTGTATTATGTAGCATCTTCTCTGGGATCTGAGGCTGTTCTCCTTAATGGAATATATTAATATTTTTATAGCATGATATATAAAAATACGGCTACCGTATTAATCTTGTATTTTTCTAAAATGATTAACATGTGAATTGCTGTTCTCTCTCTCTCTCTCCCCCCCTTTCTCTCTTCCTTCCCCCTTTATTTTTTTTTATTTTTTATTTTTTTTGAGACAGAGTCTCGCTTTGTTGCCCGGGCTAGAGTGAGTGCAGTGGCGTCAGCCTAGCTCACAGCAACCTCAAACTCCTGGGCTCAAGCGATCCTTCTGCCTCAGCCTCCCAAGTAGCTGGGGCTACAGGCATGCACCACCATGCCCAGCTAATTTTTTCTATATGTATATATTTTTAGTTGTCCAGATCATTTCTTTCTATTTTTTAGTAGAGATGGGGTCTCGCTCTTGCTCAGGCTGGTCTCGAACTCCTGACCTTTGAGCGATCCACCCGCCTCAGCCTCCCAGAGTGCTAGGACTACAGGCGTGAGCCACCGCGCCCGGCCCCCCCCGCTTTATTTTTTAAAAGAAATATATATTTAATAGTTCTGCTCTGGCACTCTGTGCAAGTTTCTAAGAGACTTTCAAATAAATGGATTTAAGAACAAGAAAGTGATCACAGACCTTCTACAATGGTGTTCGCTATTGTGACATCTTGGTCCTCATTCTGAATCTTGTTCTGCCTTAATATGTCAGATTTTCAGACAAATCGTGTTATGGGGAAAACAGTAAAAATATATGGATTTATTAAAATGATGACTATCTGTTCCTTTCATGTCATTATTCTTTTCTCTTTTTTTAAATAGTCATTTACGCATTTATCTCACCGGGGAGTTCTTTAAGGAAGTGTCCAGGTCTACTCATCAGTGTATACATCAAAGCAGCTTGGAATTAGTAGGCAGCCAATAAATACTTACTGAATTAAATAAACGAATGGAATAAAAACTCCTGAAATATGAGGGAAGGTATAATAAACCATGTATATAAGGTAGTATTTCTATTTTTCCATAGAATGCTTGAGTTGGGGGCAGGTGCTATTATAACTATAAACTGCTACCTGCTGATAGCTATGTAGGAAAACAGTTTCTATCCAGTGAAAACTGTCCTCAAAGCCTCTGATTTCTCAGGCAACGGGGAAAGACATATTCTCTGTAAAACTGAATGCCAAGATCATTTGTTGAAAGTCAAAATATTTTCTAGAATATTTATAAATACGAGGTATTTATCATTAATGGTTGAATAGTCTTCATGAATATTCGTGGACAAAGACATGGTAAACTAAGTAAAAAGTATTCACGTATTCTAAATTAATGGCACATAAAATGAACAAAATACAATAAGTATTTTTAATACTGATTTCTGAGGAAAGATTGCCCAAGCACAGCATATTAACTATAGGAAAGGAAAAGAAGTTCGGCTTTATCTTTATTGTGGAATTTAAAGCCAGGTTGCCCTTAGTAGCTTCTACCCCTTGACAACTTGCATGATTAGCAATACTTTTCTTCTCTAATAACTTAAAAAAAAGGAGAAATAGTTGGTAAAAATTATTTGAATCATACAATAGTATTGATTATATATGTGCTCACTGATGTCATTTTGCTTTTTCCATAAAAGTGATGTAATTATCACACCTTAAAATAATCTGGTCTTCTGTTATGGAAGTGTTGTTAAAGAAATTTGAATGAAAAATAAGGGAGTTTCTATACTGTTTCAACCAGCAGGTCTCGGACTGCTTTGTTTTCTATAAAATTACTCTTCGTTCATACCCTGTTGCAATCATTTGCACAGTCTACTGTAGAAAAAGAAATTGAGAAATAGGTAAAGTTTGTCTTCACTGACTTTCTCTTTCCTTTCCTCTTCTGTCACGGCCACAGGGAGGCTTTTCCTTTCCTGCTGTTGATGCCCACGTCGCTGAGTGCTCAGGAAATCAATTCATCTCAAGCAAGGGAAATGGTTTTGCCTGTGGTTGAAAACTCCGTGGACTCACTAGTACTTGCCTCATTCCTTTCTCGCTTTGTAATGTGCTAGTCCTCATCTCATTCAGTACATTTAAATAAGCTTTTGTCAGCACCTGCTTTAATCCTGTCATCCATCCACCCAAAGCGTTGTATTAGCTACGTTTTTAAGATATGACCCCCTGTCTTGCCAGACTTTGAATCTAATTGCAGAGGCAGAACACACGATTATGAGGAAGGTGAATGGCAGTACAAATTGTTGTAGATTAAATTACACGGTGATATGCAAGGGGATAGTGGAAAAAACACAGGCCTTGGCCTAGGGAATCTGAAACATGTTAGTTTTTAATTATAAAAATTATGCAAGTTTTGTATCATGTAGTTGTTAAGATCTTGGCTTGCAAATTAGACCTTGTCCAAATCGTTTCTCTACCATTTACTCTCTCTATGACTTTGGACAAGTTATATAATTTCTGTAAGCATCACTTTCCCTCTTTGCCCTAAAGGTTGTGAGGAGTAAATAAGACAAGCATTGAGCATGGTGCCTGGCGAAATATTTTCTATTTTTTAAATTTGTGATTTGGGCAAATCACAAATTCTCAGTTTCTACATACATATAATGGGAATAACGTTAATACCTTGTTCATTTGGCTATTGTTGATATCAGAGAGAATAGGAAAGGGGGTTGAAGTTATTGGAGGACATTCTATATGTAAGTATATAAAGGCATGACTAAATAAAAAGAGGGCTGGGCGTGGTGGTGTGTGCCTGTAGTCCCAGCTACTTAGGAGACCGAGGCGGGAGGATCATTTGAGCCCAGGAATTCAAGTTGAGCCTGGGCAACACAGTGAGACCCTATCTCTAAAAAAATAAATAAAATAAAAATAAAAAGAGTTAGAAAACAGGAATGAAATAGAAATGTTTTTAAATATTAGAAATTAAAGGCTGTCAAGAGAGAGATGAGAATGAGCTATTAACTGTTATTCCAATTTCATGGAAGTGGAAGCCAATGCTTACAAAAGATAAGTAATTTGGTCGAGTTTACTCACTAATAGCTAGATTCAGTCTGGGAGTTGTCTCGTAACCATTTCACAATACTGAGAAAACCGAGCTGTGGCAGCGTTATGGAGGTTACAGAGCCACGGCTTAAGCTCACGTCTCCTCAACCTTAATGCCCACGATCTTTCCACCCAGCACGGGGCCTCTCTGCAGGCTCCGAATCAGGAGATTCACCCCCGCTCTGGTGATGGGGAACATGTGGCTGGTGATTTCCATGAACAGGCCAAAGTCTCACAGCGAGAACAGTAAACCAGAGTTTGAATCCAGGTCTGCCAGACCCGAAAGCCTATGCTCCTCCCAGTCAATCAACCCCACAGCCTCTTTTATTTTGTGACAGACCCCTCACTGGTGAGACTTACTCTTCTTGGCTTCCTCTAGCTTATCCTTGGCCCTTTTTTCTGCCTGGAGGAGCTGGTGGATCCCCTGAGACTGGCTGGTCATGGTGGTACCTGCTCCAAGCAAGTGTCGTCTGTGAGATCTGAAATGTGTCCTGTTCGTTTATCCTTTCAGAGATCACCACATAGCTCAGAGTGTTGTGTCAACAGTGAGTTCTGAACACAGCTGTTGGTTTCAAGCTGGCCTGATTGGGCCAGAGAGCTGGGCCCAAGGAGAGCCCAAGGTGGAATCCAGAAAAGCGAGTTAAACCAATATGAAAAAGTTGAAAATTGACCGTAGCTACCAACTTTAGCTCTTCTGAAAGAAACAGGGAGACTTAAACGGGGTGTTGAGTCTATTTATAAAAACATGAATCAGGTACCTTTTAGAATATTAATTTCCT